AACGGAAGCCCTATGAAGCGTGCAGCCTCAATAGGGTCGGTCCTTTGGGACAAGGGCGTTAGGGTTGTCGGGTTTTCCGGGCATACGAAGAGATGTTTCGAGTCATGGGGTGTCTCTCCGCATGCCGGACTCTCATTTGGCACATGTGCCTCTAGTCTGCTCACCTATGAGTTTAACCTGCTGCAGCAGCCAGACCGAAGTTGGGCTATCGTAGTTCTAGTCTCCCGAGGCAGATGAAGCTCCGTCTCGTCAATGTCCGGTGGTTGTTTGCCTAGAACGGCACTCACTGCTCTGGAGTCTACATAACTCGAGACCGACTCCCTGTGTATGCCGCTCAGGGCCTGTCGACAAGCCGACGGGTCCAGAGGTGGTTTAATGAACCTTTGGACTTCGCCCGTCAGTTCGTAGAGATGCCTTCTGACGTGTCTGGGCGAGGGCTCTTCTGCAAGCAGTTGCCTATTTGGGTGACCACGTCTATGGCTCCCAATAAGAAACTGCTTGCAGAGCATTGTGTTGGGCTCCTTCATCGGGAGCATGTTTGCCTCGTCGTGCAGGTGGTGTTCTGGCGACATCCACAGAAGGCATCCAGTCGCTGTCCGTAGTGCGATGTTTTGCGTCGTCTACAGTTTCATCCACTGCGCCCTACTAGTCCCCGGCGACCACACTGGTGCTGCGTAATTTAAAACCGGCCTTCCTATTGCCTTGTATGTTGCCAGCAACTTTTCGTTATCTTTGCCCCAAGTACTGCCATCTAGCGACTTGAGGACCTTGTTGCGGCTCTGTACTTTGATGACAATAGCGGTTGCGTGCGCAGAGAAGGAGATCAGACTGTCGAAGGTTACTCCGAGTATTTTGGGGTTATTCACCGTCGGAATTTATTTATTTTATTTATTTTTATTTATTTATTTATTTGTTACAGTCTTACGACTTAATAATACAGCTATGCTATTCGTACATACGTATATGAATTGTAATGTTCTTATTGCAAAAATTATCAATTAAATATAAAATTATGTATACAAAAACTATATATATTATATTACATATGTCTATATTAGTCCGCATGAATAAAAATATGCAATTGCCCCCTCCAAAAAGTTTCGACCTTCCACTTCAATTTATTTGAATAATCGAGTACAAGGTGGAAATTCCCAGGAAACGGTGTATCATCGACGTGAATTCCCAGCGGTAGCCTGACCTCCTTCGTCCAGGTGGTGAACAAGGACGCAGAGGATTTCGTAGCGGAGAGGGCTAGACGCTTTGCAGTGAAGAAGCGAGAAAGCTTGGAGAGATTCCCGTTTACTTTCGAACACAAGTCATCAATTCCATTCCCAGTCGCCATGCTCGAGCAATCTTCGTCGTATGAGATAATCGAGACTCCATCTGGTGGTTGAGGGAGCTTTGAAATGTAGAAGTTAAATAGTAGTGGGGAAAGGACACCACCCTATGGAATCCCCTGTTTTATTTTTTTAAACATTACCGACGAGTGTCGACCACTCAGATAAATCGCCGACGACCGTTTGAGCCTCTGTGGGAGAGAGGAAGCCTCTATATATTCTAGTAGCGTGGAGTGGCTGACGGTATCAAACGCCTTGACAAGTCCAACGCTGCTATAATAGTTCTCTCACAGGGACGGTTGCGGTTAAGGCCAGGTGTTATCTGTGAGTTTATGGCGTTAAGTGCTGTTGTTGTACTGTGCACTTTACGGAAACCATGCTGATGCTTCGCTGGGGTCAGGTGGTTCGTGTAATACGGGAGCAGCAAGGCCTTTAGTTCTTCGCTACCAGGGAAAGGAGTGTTATCGGGCGAGAAGACTCTCCTTTGTTGGCTGTTTTCACTGGTTTGAGCAGTGGGGACCACTCTTCCAGTTCTCCAGATGTCTGGAATGATGAGGATGGCCATTGACAGGTTGAGGACCTTGGTTAAATAATCCACTCCCAGGGACCCA